GCTTTTTGTTCAAACCTCAGAATGCAACCCCTAGCTTTGAATAACCGAGCAGGAGGTGGAGAGGGAGGTGACTTTGCATACAAGGCTCCGCTAGCTTAGGTCCAGATTATGATTATAAACCGTTTAGAATATTTCCAAAATTAGGAACATTTACCGGAAGGTAAAATGTTAATTTACATATCCCGATGAGGATACTCACTTTATTCTGATGAGGAAGAAGACGGTCCTGGTTGTAGAGATTGACTAAGTGGGGGTAGGGGACCCCAACACCACCACATTTGAAGCATCTTTCAGAGATAAATCAAGATAGCTGCCTTGGAAAGTTTTGAAGATTTCCAAAAGCCCATTTCCTTGATCCGACTGAGGCTCATATGCTGTAGAATGGCCACAGACCCTGCATATTTCCTAGTGTCGTGTGCCATAAATTTCTTGCCAGGGTCTGCTTTATTCACTAATTGAGATAAAGATTTTGTCATTTGACTAGAAGACAATTCCTTACCATCCCTGGATGAGAAAACATAGGGGCCTCGATTAGGGAATTTGGTTAACCATTCCTGAAGATTTTTAACTGGGCACAAGAAATGAGGAACCCTTGTCTCATCCATTAGGCATTTTATCCTAATAGGTTGAGCTTGGAAATCTTCCCTTTAATTTTTTCTTAGGATCTCCGTAGGAAAAAGGGTAACATCCTCATCAGAAAATACCAATACTGATGAATTATTGGAAATTGAAATCAGTTCACTGATTCTCATACCTGTTGCTATTGCTAGAAGGAAGGCTGCCTTCTGTAGTAATTTATCCCTGTTCAGATTTATATTGTAATTAGGCCCCATAAGAAATTTAGTAACTTTTTCCAGAGACCAAGGTGGGATTCTCTTAGGGCAAAGGGGTCTCTGAATGAAAAAGGAAGATCTTAGCATTTGATAAATCCTTGGGTTCAAAATAATGTATTAATGGGCAAAGTTGAGGGTAGGAGGGCCAGGGAAAGGCAGAGACCAACCATGGGGCTACTACAGCATGGTATACACCACGGAGCTTCTTGCAATTGGCCCACTGCCCTAAGGGCAAAGCTCTACTGTACATGTACTCAAAATAATGTACTAAATGAATACTAAAAAAAATTTCTAGTGCAAACTATAGAATGTTTATATTCAAATTAATCACTATCTTATAATAATTCCAGCAATGTAAATTATATTCTCCCCGGTCACTTCTGTGACATTATATAAACAAAAAACATAATCTCAAGCTGAAGGACATAAATAAACAAATAAATACTTCACTAGACCTTCGGTGCCAACTGCCAAACATGTCACTGTCACTTACCCTCCCCTCCTCCCCCATCTTCCCAACCAGGGTTTGGTGTTTTACGCTTAAATTTTTTATCTTATATAATATCATAGACTAAAGTTAGGAGAATATAATTTGTATTGCTGGAATCCTTGCAAGACAGCGAATAATTTTAATATAAATGTCATATATTTTGCACAAGAGATAAAAATTTTGCTGTCATAAAATTCTTAAATTAGAACTGAAATTTGTGTACAGTTGAGTCTTCATTTACGCGGTCAATTGAACCCGCGGAGTACCGCGTAAAACGAGAAAAGCGTAAATGAAATAACAGAACATATGGGATCAATTGAAATAGAGACTGGGACGACCCCTAAATTCCAATTTTTCCGACACAATACGTACCTTGTAGTCAAAATAACATCTTAATTTTATGATGGTATGCACACACAATTAATAATTAAGAGAAATGTCAATAATATTAGGTTTTTTAACACTTACATGAGTAGAAAAGATGGCTGGGCACATGGGGATGGGGGATTGGTTCCAAGGCAGAGGGTAGATTATTGGCCCTCACCTGTATCACTTGTATCAATTGTATCACTATCCACCACAGAGGCTTGCAGGGCCTCTTTGTCAAACCCCTCAAAGTCCATATCCTCACTATTACTATCACTGACTTGGGCCAGCTGTGGTGGGTGGCGGGTGAAGAACTCGGTAATGTTTTGATGACTGGGCGACCTTGTGCGCACCCTGCCCACGTCGCTTCCCGCGTAAATGACCAAATTTGCCGCGTAAATCAAGCATTTCAATTCTGGCAAGGCACCGCGTAAATGACAAAACGCGTAAACCAAAACCACGTAAATCCAGACTCAACTGTATAATGCGAGCTATAGCTTGTTTATATTCAAATTATTCACTATCTTATAAGAATTCCAGCAATGTTAATTATATTCTCCCATTGTCAGTTCAGTGACAGTTTATAAGAGAAAAACTTAAAGTCTCTCTTATGGAAAGATAAATAAATAAGCACTGGACCTTGGCATCAACTGTCAAACATATCACCTCACCTCCCTCCCTCCCCCCATCTTTCCAACCAGTAAACAGACCATTTCTCATCCCTTAATTTTAGCTGTGTTGATTTATAAGTGTTTGTTTTAACATAATACGACAAAAAACAATGTTTTGTTTATTCTAGGAGATGGGCTAAGGTGCATCTGGGTAGACTCTCAGTCCTTTTAGTATTTTGTGTTTCTCTCAAGTACCAAACTAAATTATTCCATTGAAACAACACTTCGATTTAGTGCGAATTTGGTTTAAACGACCTCTCTTGGAACGTATCTCGTATTATATCGACGTTCTACTGTATAAAGAATGCTCGTAAAACATTTAAATTTCCCTAAATTTCCAAAATAGTATCTGGTCTGAGTCTCTCCCATAGGAGAATTTCAGATATTATCCTCTCATCCATTAATGCCTCCTGCCCTTTTATTTAGTGTGTGTGTGTGTGTGTTTGTTGGTGGGGGGGGGCAACTGTAATGTAGTACCAACTGACAAAGGCACCTCAATCTCCCGTCCCTAATTCACACATAGTGTTCTTAGAGTGCGTACATGATATGGTCGTGAAAGCCTGTATGTTTAGCAGGTGTACATTATCCCTTAGCCAGCGGCAGCAGTGAATGAAGAAGTGCCAAATTTAAAAATCGTCATTATATAGATGCCACCGACCACTGGAGTGGAGCATAAATAAAGTTACACCGCATTTTGTGAAATTTTAACACCATCTATGCAGTATATAGTCTCTACGGCAATATGGCACAGTTGCTATATTTCATTAACATAGCAGAGATGCTTTTAATATTAAAACTTGAATTTTGTAATTGGCTATTATTTATATTCGTATAAGCAAGGTACGTGGAGTCACTCACACCCACAGCCAAAGCTGTGTCCAGGATTTGTGACCTGGATGTGGTTTCCCTCCCACCCTCCCTTACTATATTGTTGCCTTACTGTTGCTTCTTATGGCATTTGTTCATTCACTGCTGTCAGTCTCCTACGTTGGAAGGCTTTCTGATGTGTGGTAAAGCTTAAAACATGGAGTAATACACAGTGCAACTTGACAAACATCACAGCTGTAGATACTTCTCCTCACTTTCTTTTGCATTGCAGAGTAAGTACATCTCCTTTGAACCTTCTTTGTACTACCACCTTCAGCTGACTCTGTCTCTATTGGAAAATGTTTTCCACTCAGTCTTGTAGGGCATGGCTCAAGAGTTACTGAGCTTGTGGATTTATTTATCCAATAAACATCTTTGCTATATGCAGACACAATCTGTTCAATCAAGAGCAACTTGAAGTCAAGGAGGTTTTTCTGGCCTCCATTTCTCTTGTAGATTACATGGCGGTTATGCAAACTCATTTCTATCAGCCTGCAAAATAGCTTCTTGTAGTACTTTGTAATACCCTTGCACTCCTTCTCTTTTCTTCACAGATCTTGGCAGAATATTTGTTTGTCTCTCTCACTATATGTTCTATTATATCTCTGTCTACAAAAGACAAAAAAATCTCTATTGGGTTCTGAGGATCTTGCAAAACTACTTTGACTCCCGTGTCTCCAGTAAATGGAAATCGTTCTCTACTAATTGGAGAATTGCTCAACCATCCAACTGGAGCACTGTCATCTTGACCATCAACTTCTGCACCTGACAGAATATCATCTGGTTCCTCTGTAATAATCTCAAGTTGTGATTCATCACCACTATCAGTGTCATCACCACTACTATCTGATTTTGCATCATCACTAATATCATCCGTGAATTCATCATCAAAATCGTGGTCTAGAATATACTGTATTTCCTCATAAGGAATGTTCCTCCTACGGAACATAATTATGGCTACAATTTCTATATACAGTACAGTACAGGCAAAGAAAATAAAAAGTAAATGAATGATGAAATGCCTAACAGACAAAAAAATAATAATTGAAAATTATATCTGACAAAACTTAGCTCTCTTCAAAATATAAAAAGAAAGAATGGAAATTTAGCTCCACAGATGAGACCAAAGAGAGTGCTCTATACCATATGAAAGCTGGGAACAGACTGTTTGAGTGATTGGAGCTTTAGGCGGCTGGCGCCTGCGATCAGGCAAGCCATGGCCACCCTTGAGTTGCTAGTTAGGGATTTCTAAGGCTCTAGGGCACTCATACAAATCCGACTATATATAGTCTCTGCTGGGAAATACAGGAGATGAATTTTGGAGAAGCATCTATATATAGTCTCACCGCAATTTTTCAGCACATTCCGGACCATCTATATATAGTTCGGCCACCGGCTAAAGTTTAACCAGACACTGACATATTATTTTCCCATACCATTATCCTCAATTGTTTTGCTACTACTTTTTATTTCCCTACTTTCCTGCCTTTACTTCCCTCTCCATGTAAACACACTGTTAAGAGTCCTCATTCCTCACACAACATTTGATTTCTTAGGTGTCAATATGCATCAGCTTCCTCATTTAAGTGACAGTGAAGCCAATTACTGTATTGCTAGCACTACTGTCCTGTCCATAACACTTCAAAGTATGAAATTGGTCACAAGCTGAAATATTAAAAAAAAAATCAACACACTTTAACCTACTATTCAAGTTGAGAAAGACACATGTGACAGAAAATATTCAAACATCAAAATAAATTACAAAAATATTACCAGAAAGTCCTTCATATTAAGGTCGTTCATAACAGCCATCACTAGTTCCTGAGGACATGGAGCACCTGCCATTATTCCAGTTGACAAGGAACTGACATCTTTGAGCAATCTTTGTTGAACATTTAAAATGTCAACAAACATGGTCGGAGTACCGTAGCAAGATGTAATTCTGCAAGATAAAGAAAATATTGGTTTTGAAATAATGAAAGTAGTCTGGACATTATCAGCTGCATAGTTTAGCCATTATTATGTACAGTACATACCTCTGGGAATGGTATTAATACGAGTTTAAGAAATCAAAATTTATATCACTAACACTGTAAGCCATGATAATGGTTTACCAATAAACCATGGTTTACTTACCTTCCCAATTTACTGTTATTAATGACCACAGCAATTAGTGGTGGCCATGTTCTTGACACTGTTACCCAGGGCTATGCTTAAGTTCAGTACAGGGTATCTCAATCATGAGGAGGGAAAATGTACACACACTGCTTTAATCCACTACGGACTCAAACTCAGGACCCTTAGGATCACATTGGAACCAGTTTTGAGGAATTTTTAGTCTCCAGTCCTCTTGGTCCTAGATTATCCATTTATAACCCCAACCAAAGATTCTAATACTAGAGAAGGACAGCCCACTCCTATGGGCAAATGCATTCACCGCCCAAAATGGCTTCGCCAAGTGGCGGGGGAGTAAATTAAATAATTACCAGGCAAGCAATAAAGGGAGGAAGATGAAACATTTGGCAAAATCAGGATTTTCTTTTCTGCATTTCTTTATAGCAGCTGCAATGGGGCCCCGGTACTGTGCAGTCATTAATTGCTGTAGCAGCTCCTTAAGGAACAGGAACCTTTCTTGAAATAAAGTCTTTTTTTTTTAAATTAAGAGTTGCTTAGGTAAGCCTACACAGCACCATATCATGGAACTGTTTACATTCTACTCACAGCATCTTCTCCAGTCACAAGAAAATCAAGGTACAGTAATGTCTCGATTTACGCGAATTTGGTTTACGCGTTTGGTCATTTACACGGCACCTTGCCAGACCGACAATTTTTATTTACACGGTTCATTCCATCATTTACGCGGGAAGCGCCGCGGGCAGGGTGCACACAAGGTAGCCCGGTCAACAAAACATTACCGAGTTCTTCACCCGCCACCCACCACAACCAGCCCAAGTCAGTGATAGTGATAATGAGGATATGGACTTTGCGGGGTTTGATAAAGAGGCCCTGCAATTTTATGAGCTAAAAACAAATATCTTCAGTAAATAAACAAATTATACTTTACCCAGACACAATACGTTACTTAAGTTGTAGTAAAAATAACATCTTCGGCGCCTGGAGGGTGCGCATTAGGTCGTTCTTATGTTGTCGCTGACGTCATATGACGTATCGGACTGCGATTGGGCCACGCATCCTTACCTCCCTCTGCCACTAGCTGTAATTGGTCTAATGTAACACTACGTGCCCTGCCACGAGAGGGAAGAAGTCGCTGACCTAGCCGGGCCAGTCTCATTGTTCTCAGTTCTCCGAGTATACAGTTCTCTCTTGTGCCCGCTATTCCCCTCACAATGGCTTCCGCTGGACCCCCACCACCCCCGAGAAACCATGAACTACCTGGACCAAGCCATGGTTATGTGAAGGAAGTCATCGAGTTGGGGGAGAAAATCAAGCTCATCCTTGACAAAGACACAGTCAAGCATCGGTATGAAGTGTCTAATAACCTTCTGTCGAAAATTATGGAGCCGTATGTCCAGATGTATCACAACATCAATGCTAGTCTCACCCGCAACCCACCACAACCACAGCCAGCCCAAGTCAGTGATAGTGACAGTGAGGATATGGACTTTGAGGGGTTTGTCAGGGAGGCCCTGCAAACCTCTGTGAGTAGTGATAGTGATTCACAGGAGGGCCACTAATCTGCCCTCTGCCTCGGAACCAGCCGCCATCCACGTGTGCCGACCCATCTCTTCTACTAACCTAAGTGTTAAACACCTTTATATTTGTAGTTTTTTATTTAGATATTATGTGTGTGTCAACACCATCATAAAATTATGATGTTATTTTTACTACAAGGTACGTATTGTGTCAGAAAAAGTGGAGTTTGAGGGTCGGCCCAGTTTCTAATTCAATTAATCCCATATGTTCTGTTATTTCGTTTACGCGTTTCTCGTTTTACGCGGACCTCCACGGGTTCAATTGAATGCGTAAATGCAGACTATACTGTATAAGATATATACTTATAAAGAGAAAGACAAAGAGTAGAAGAATATAAGTATATATAAATATACAGTGGTCCCTCGGTTAACGAACGCCTCGGTTAACGAAATTTCGATTAACGAACTGCCTCCCATAAGATTCTTAAATTCGGTTAACGAACAAAAATTCGGTTAACGAATTTCTTACGAGCCGACCTCAACATGTTTTCGCTTGCACTGGCCGGTCAACCAGCTTTAGTATTAGTCCGCCAATACATTAATCGGTTCTAGGGCTTAAATTCCTTACTATTTTAGTAAATATCAAGAAGTTTATACTATTCAATAATTTTAAAAGTTTAATATTCAATTTTTTAGTCATTTTAACAATTATTGAACATAATTGAAGGTAAAGTGTCTAGTTTAATGCGCGGCATCCAGCCTCTTAACACAGCAAACAGGCGTTAGTCTCTCTCTGTTTTCACTGGAGGTAACATCTTCCTTGAGACTCTCTTCAACTAAATGCTTTTTTTCTGTGTTTCCAAGCAAATTATTGGTCATTTTGAAATATATTTTACATATTGACAATATATAATGCAGTGCAGTGTTGATTTAAAGAAAATAATCTTGAAATACACCAAGAGAACTAAAATTTTATGGGTGAAATGGTGCCATGGGTGACTTCTCCACCCCAATGCCTTCTCTTCTTCCTTCTCCTCCACCCCCATTCTAATTCCCATCATCATCATCATCATCCAGGAGCCTTCTACATACACACCTCAAAGTAAGTGAACTTTTCTACCATTTTTGTTGAATTTAGGCAATTTTCGGTGAGCTGGAACCAATTACCCAAAAAACCCATTGAAACAATGGTTTCGGTTAACGAATTTTTCGGTTAATGAGCAACCTGCTGGAACGGATTGTGTTCGTTAACCGAGGGACCACTGTATTGAAGAATAAAAAGAATAAGTATATGAAATAGTATAAAGAGGAAAAACTTGCTCCCTTACAAGAATTGTAAAATCTTGGAACAACCTGCCAGAGAGTGTTGTGACAGCACTGAGTGTGAGCTAATTCAAGACCAGACTTGACCAACACTGGTGCAGGTTCAGATACATTCAGGAGCCAGTAATGCCCAATACTTACCAACAGTGTGTAACAGAGCCATGACCAACCGCCCAAGAGGCTAACATGTCGATCAGTGGTGAAGAGGGTAAAAGTACAGTATAAAAGAAGTTGTTCATCCAGATCCTCATCCACTTATGGGACATTAATTAGTTATGAAGCATGTGGCCTAGAAGAACGACTACACATACTCAGGGTTCTAAGATTGTATTTACTAACCTCTCATCTTGTAGAGCATGAACACAAGCTTCAGGGTCAAAGCCTTCACTGGGCATGATGCATGTAGCTCCAAACGATGCTCCAACCAGTGACCCAGTAACACAACCAAAACAGTGATACAGTGGCACTGGCAGACATATGCGGTGGATCTGACAAAAAGGTTATGAATAAACTGTGAATGAATGAATCTATAGGATGTCCACAAAATTATCAATAGCACAGCATTTTGTGTAGTGTAGAAATAAAAATAAACATGATGACATACACTACATTACAACTTACTTAGATTAGATTATGCTGCAATAGGCCAATAAAAACTAAATATGTAAATTATAATGTGCTACAGTATACTGTACAGTGGGGTATGCTATAACGAATCTAATTGGTTCTAGAACCTTGTTCGTTATAGCATTCGTTCGTTATAGGATTAATCCGTTCCAGCCCTCAAATACAACCACTTAACACTGAAAATATAATATAAAATTGTAAAAATTGTAAAAAAGTGCATAAATATGCATCTAAACCCCTGAAATAAAGAATATCATTAATACTTGTAATAAAAAAACAATAAATTAGCAAAAAAAAAAAAATAATAATGTTCGTTGTAGGAGTTTCGTTCGTTATAGCATTCTCAATTTTATAGGTAAAACTGTTCGTTATAGGAATATTCGTAGTCGGATCTGTACGTTATAGCATACCCCACTGTACTTGTAATACTGCAGCACTTTAATGAACTGTATCATCAGCCCACCACGAAGTAAAATATCAGTCCACCACATGAAGGTAATAACAGTCCACCACATGAAGGTAACAACAGTTCACCACAAGAAGTAAAATATCAGTCCACTAAATGAAGTAAAATATCAGTCCACCACATGAATGTAATAACAATCCACCACAAGAGAGGATACGATTAACCTTCCTGCATTTGAGGACAGATGGTTCGACACAGTACTGACCCACATTGTGTTCACAGAAGAGGGTATTAGAAATAAACAGTCAAAGCTACAGGTCCATAAGAGTCTCGGCCCTGACATGGTGCATCCTAGAGTGCTAAGAGAGTTGTGCAATGAGTTTGCAGAGCCCCTGAAGATCCTGTTTTGTAAATGCCTGGATGAACAAAAGGTCCCCAGTAATGGAAAGTGGCTTATGTGAGTCCTATCTTCAAGAAGGGCGATCGTCACTCCACAAACAACTATAGACCGGTGAGCCTGACCAGCATATGTAAAGTACTTGAGAGTATTATCAGAGATGCCGCGATGGAACATCTACTAAGAAACAACCTTTTAAAGGATTGCCAACACGGTTTTATGCCGGGGCGCTCCTGCTTAACACAATTGCTCAAGGTACTAGATATTTGGACCCATATTCTGGAACGGGGTGGTAATATCGACAATATTTACCTAGATTTTGCCAAGGCTTTTGACAGTGTAACCCACGAAAGGCTGAAAATCAAACTGGAAGGGTACGGAATTCGGGGAAATGTCCTTGTAGGGATAGAAGAGTTTCTACATGACCGCAAGCAGTGTGTGGTGATTAATGGCAAGAAATCATCATCCATACCTGTCACAAGCGGGGTACCACAGGGCAGTGTATTGGGCCGCTGTGTGTTTGTTTCATATATGACATGCCTGACATTGTACACTCCTCCATACAAATGTTTGCCAATGACGCCAAGTTATTTCGGGAAATCAAGAACCGAGTGGACTGTGAAGAGCTGCAGAAGGATCTCTGTGGGCTCCAAGAATGGTCGAATAAATGGCTGCTGAGATTCAATGTCACGAAGTGTAAGAGGATGCACCTGGGGCGTACCAACGGTAAGGAGGTGTATCATATGTCCCAACGGGATGAAGAAACTGCACTATTTGAGACTGACTGTGAGAAGGACCTAGGTGTGTACGTTGTCAATGAGCTGAAGTTCTCGGGCCATTGCGAGAAGAAGGTAAATCAGGCAAATAAATTATTGGGTCTTATAAGAAGGTTGTTCAGATATCTAGGCGGTCCGTCCCTCGTAACGATCTTCAAGAGTGAAGTGCTTCCCCATCTGGAGTACTGTCACCCCATTTGGTCCCCGAGATATGCTAGGGACTGTCAGTTGGTTGAAAATGTTCAAAGGAGGGCCACCAGACTGGTGCCTGCACTTCGGCACCTCAGCTACCCTGAGAGATTGGCGCGCCTGAACTTGCCTAGCTTATACTACATAGGGGCAAGGGGCGACCTAATTGAGGTGCACAGTATAATCATCTCAAGGGGCACTACTCAGTTGAGTGTCCTTACTTGGAGCTGGTGGAAGCTCGCCCCACAAGGGGTCACAGATCAAGATTGAAGAAGACGCAAGTTCAGAAAACTGTGAGGGCAAACTTTTTTGGAGTGAGAGTTGTGAACTCTTGAAACAATCTACGAGATAGTGTTGTGACGGCACCGAGTGTGAGCTCTTTCAAAACAAGACTTGACCAAATACTTGCCAACAGTGCATAACAGAGACGTGACTGATCGCCCAAGCGGCTAACGAGCCGATCAGTGGTGAAGAGGATAAAAGTAAAAAGTAAAGTAATGAAGTAAAACACCAGTCTACCACATGAAGGTAATAACAGTTTACCATATGAAGGTAATAACAGTCCACCACATGAAGGTAATAACAGTCCACCACATGAAGGTAATAACAGTCCACCACATGAAGGTAATAACAGTGCACCACATGAAGGTAATAACAGTCCACCACATGAAGTAAAATAGCAGTCCACCACATGAAGGTAATAACAGTCCACCACATGAAGGTAATAACAGTCCACCACATGAAGGTAATAACAGTCCACCACATGAAGGTAATAACAGTCCACCACATGAAGGTAATAACAGTCCACCACATGATGGTAATAACAGTTCACCACATGAAGGTAATATCAGTCCACCACATGAAGGTAATAACAGTCCACCACATGAAGGTAATAACAGTCCACCACATGAAGGTAATAACAGTCCACCACATGATGGTAATAACAGTTCACCACATGAAGGTAATATCAGTCCACCACATGAAGGTAATAATTGTTCACTACATGAAGGTAATAACAGTTCACCACATGAAGGTAATATCAGTCCACCACATGAAGGTAATAACAGTCCACCACATGAAGGTAATAATTGTTCACCACGTGAAGGTAGTAACAGTCCACCACATGAAGTAATATATCAGTCCACCACATGAAGATAATATTAGTTGAGTACTGTACAAGAACGTACATAAAGATTCTAATTATCCACTATAAATAATAAGCAATGTAAGGTTCTCCTCAAAACACTTACTTTCTTATCATATTCTGCTCTTTTTCCAATTGAATATGAATTGTTGACCAACATATGATGGGTGAGGACAGCAGCCTTAGGTGAACCAGTTGTCCCCTGAAATATAACATAACTGATATTAGGTCCTGGTTGGAGGTACAGCAGTAATGTGCATATGTATCACTATTATATCATGGGTTTGAGTCTGGCCCAGACTCATGTGGGAAGGGTGTTATCCAAATTGATTCTAACAAACATTCCAAGTTTCCTCTTGCACGAACACTGGACAATAAAGTTGATAACAAAGAACAGACCAACTGCCCAACTGCCCAGTAAGCTGATAATTGGTGAAATGATAAATCAAAAATTATGATAAATTATAAAACTACAGTAGACATATTTAACTTTTTAGTTCTATTCTAAACTGTGCAACCTATGGCCATGATACCTTCTCTGTACAGGTATATCTGTCACTTTAAATGTATGTTCACACTTCCACCCTTACATTCCCCTTCTATTCTTGTAGCCCACCTTGGTCTCTAGATAAAGTTACTAAATTTTTTATGGGGCTTAATTACAATATAAATCTGAACAAGGACAGATTCCTCCAGAAGACAGCCTTCCTTCTAGCAATAGCAACAGGTATGAGTATCAGTGAACTGATTTCAATTTCCAATAATCCATCATTATTGGCATTTTTAGAGGAAGATGTCACCCTTTTTCCTAAAGAGATCCTAAGAAAAAATGAAAGGGAGGATTTTCAAGCTCAACCTATCAGGATAAAACGGCTAATGAATGAGACAAGGGTTCCTCATATATTGTGCCCAGTTAGGAATCTTCAAGAATGGTTAACCAGATTCCCTAATCAAGGCCCCTATGTATTCTCATCACAGGATGATAAGAAATTGTCTCCTTCTCAAATGACAAAATATTTATTGTATTTAGTGAGTAAAGCAGACCCTGGCAAGAAATTTTTGGAACATGACATCAGGAAATATGCAGGGTCTGTGGCCTTTCAGCGGCATATGAGCCTCAGTCAGATCAAAGAAGTGGGCTTTTGGAAATCTTCAAAAACATTTCAAAACAGCTATCTTCATCTATCTCTGGAAGCTGCTTCACTTGTGGTGGTGCTGGAGTCCCCTCCCCCACCTAGTTAATCTCCACAACCAGGACCTTCTTCTTCCTCATCAGAGTACAGTGAGTATCCTAATTGGGATATGCAAATTAACATTTTACCTTCCAGTAAATGTTCCTAATACAGTATTGGAAAATATTCCAAAAATTTTATAATTGTAATCTGGACCTAAGCTAGCAGAGCCTTATATGCAATGTCACCTCCCTCTCCACCTCATGCTAAGGAAATCAAAACTAGACGTCGCATTCTGGATTGAACAAAAAGCCGTTTTTTTTCTAAAAAACAGTTTTTGTGATATATATACTGTAGTCCAGAATACGACGTCGACATCCCACCCATCTCCACCCCTCGCGAGTTGACACTTGTTTACTGCTCGCCCTAGGGCAAGAGATGACGGTAGCAAAGAGTGTGATGGAGGGTGCAGGAGGGGGTTTTGAGAATTGCAATTGAATGCCAGGTAGCGACGTGTCCTCCTCATATTACGTATGAAGTAATTATTAGATGTTTTAATTGCCCGTATGTTGGCCTGGCGAGTTATTGCTAGGCATTAACATACCTAGGTATAAAGCTAGACGTTGCATTCTGGACTATATCATAAAAACTGTTTTTTTAGAAAAAAAATGACTTTTTTTTAACGGCTACTGTCATGGAAATTATTGACATTTATAAGCATGTTTAAAAAATCTGCTACAATGAGTTTATGTATACCAAGCATATCACTTACAAGACCAAGTTGTGGAGGAAATGTGAGAAAAGATCCATCAGCTGATCCTCACAACAAAATGTGTTGTTCTTAAGGATTTCATTAATAGAAGTTTTGTTCGTTAACCGAATTAAAGATCCTTATGGGAGGTAATTCGTTTACCGAAATTTTGTTAATCGAACCGTTCGTTAACCGAGAGACCACTGTATATGTATAGGTAAAGGAAATTACTGTCTCTAGAACGAATGGCTCCCTGTCCCAGCCGCGGAAATGCCGGCAACTTTAAACTACCCACAGACATTCTTGGGTACATCCAGTGTCATCTGGGAATAACCGAGAACTGAGAAGTAAAAATCCTCGAACTTGGGGGGCCCCCTGTATATGCATGTACTATCAGAAACGAAATTGTCCATAATTTAAGTTAAGCAGAGGTCATCATGTAAGCTCACATTAAACTTAATTGTTTAAGAAAATATTTACAGTAAAGTGATGAATACATTGTCAGTTCAACAAGGAGCAAGACTACATACCGAAGTAAACTGAATGTTGCATGGATCATCAATCTTTATCTTGGAAGAAAGTTTTCCTAATATCTTCACGTGGCTATTGTCCCCTGCTTCAAGCACATCTCCAAATTTATAAGCACCACTAAAAAAAAATAATAATAATAATAATAAACATTATTAAAGTACAGAATTTAAAAAGTTGAAACATATTTCAAAATGAAATACAGGGTGTCCATAAATGATTCCCCTAAAAGCAGTATTTTCTCATGCTTTAATCAGGGTAATCATTTATGGACACCCTATATTTTGGTATACAATACATAAGTACAGCACATACTGTTTTGTATTAGATATACCGTACTGTATAATAAAGGGATTTGACTTTAATAATATAAATAATATGCAAACGAGTAAGGTAAGCTAGCTAAGAAAGAGGACAGTAAGGTGGGATACTAATATTGTATATTTGAAGCTGCTGTAATTAAAACAAAGAGAAATCTGTAATTTCTATTGAAAACAAAGCTGCTTATGTATGATGGAAAATAAAAAATTAAAGGCTTTTTCATAACTATTAAGAAGAAAAACTGATATAAGTGACTTAACATACACAGGAAAATAAGATACTGTACACAGTATACTGTAGTTGATTTTGTTGATATGTTGACCCGTATCTTTTTGCAAAAAAAATACTGAATTTTTCATGTCTCACGAATAAGTCAACCCGAGCTTTGAGGGATACCAGTAGGAATGCTTGAAAATTTGAACCAATAGGATCTCTGTGAGAGGACTTGTCATCAAGCATTGGTGTACTATTTTTAAGCTGAGTAGAAGCGCCATAGGTTTACCATCCTCTGTTGAAGAAGTATTTCCTTATATTTGTCCTGCATAACATCTTGGTGAGCTTAAAGTTGTGTCCCCATGTATTGGTTGGTGACACATGACATTACGAACAAATGGCCTGGGTTCACATTTAACATCCCTTTCAAGATTTTGACTCACAATTGTGAGTTGTCTGAAGAGTTGCCAGTCTTATAGCCTTTATTCTGCTTCAATATAGGAGATGATATAGTTCAGGGGTTGGGGGTCATCTTAGTCACTCTTGTGTTGTACCTTTTCTCTGGAGTTACGTATTTATTTTTTACTGTTGTGCACTGTTGGTTAAGTCTGGTCTTGAAACCGCTCACACTCGGTGCCATCACAACACTCTCTGCAGGTAAGGTTTCCATGCTTGTTTACAGTAATCCAAATGAGAACATACAGTATGAGCTGCTTATAAAGATAAGGAGCATTTTCTTATCTATGTATCAGAAGGTAAGACATATAATTTCTAAATCTTGGTTAGAATTTTTACTGTTGCTTTCACTTGTTGTGCAGCCTTAAGGGAGTGGTCTACCACTATGCCTAGCTCTTTTTCCTTATCCATAGTACCCAAGGAAGTGTTATTAACAGAATAGTTGTGATTAGGATTGTTGTGTGTTCTGCAGTCTTACATTTTGTGATGTTAAAAAGCATTTGCCAGTCTTGTGATCATTTGAACAAATTGTGGAGATCATTTTGCATGGTTGGAAGCCACACATCTATAACATAGCTAAAGCTGCCTCCTGAAATCTGGGGATATTGTATAAATGCCATAACTACTTCACTCCTGAGCAGTTGCTTCAGGTTTATTAGGGATTCATTTATCCTAACATGGAGTACAGTACTGCTCTGATATCTGGGGTGGTTCTTTTTCTGTCCAACTGTTAAATAGGGTGGAATCACAGGCATTTTGTCCTATCAACTCTCCCCCTTTAGTCAATAATCTCTCTTTCCCTTCTCTTTGTCGCAATGTTGCTTCTCTCTCTCTCTTTTACAGGTACTTTAATGGGCAATGTTCAATAGATTTGGCATCCTGTGTACCAATGGCAAGGTAGTAGGCTTGTAACACTCGTTTTGCCCGTGGTGCCCACTGTTTCTGTGTGGATGTCGGGCACTCTAGAGTACATAAAGTACATAAAGTACTGTTTCAAAAATTTAAGATTTCAATCTTAAGCAAAAAGAGCCTGTATAAAACAGTTGATGATGAAATGGACTGATTGAGTTTCAGTAATCATTTACTGAATACTGAATACTGTACAGTACAGTACTGTACTGTACTGTATAACTGAGATCAAATAATAGAGGAAATAAACTAGGCATGAGTCAAAGTTCCTCATTCCTTACCTTAAGTTTCTCGCTGAGCACATGATCACTTGCTTCAAGTGTGGCAGTTTGGAACTCTTCAATTCACCTTTGGGTGAGGATGGCAGCTCAGGGGCAAGATCACACAACATTTGATAATAACTGTTGAAAATAAAAATTGTTTATCTCACAAGACCAGCATCCAACAACATCAATTTGTCACAAAACTATTTGTCTTATAAATGATTGGAAGAAAAAACTTACTCTGATGTTTTGAATTTCTCATGACAAACAATAGCCTTGACTGAAACCTTGTTAAGGCAGTACTCCAGTTCACTGGGGCGGTAGGCTGGGTTGATATTGACCTAGAAAATGAGAAAAAACAGTGAGATGTTAATTGTATTACTGTACAGGGAAAAATAATGTCTGTACTGTATACTGTACAGTGAGTTCTGCTATAACGCGTGTTTTGACAACGCGAATTGGCTCTAACGCGATTTATGAATAGAGGAATGATATTTGTATAACGCGAACGCTTGTTTGCTGTAACGCGATTTTTGCTTACTATTTCTCCAATTTTGTGGTATTAACTGTGAATATGGTAAAGAAGAATATCTACTAGAAGCGTTCTGTTGATCGCATTCCCGGTGACGATCGTAAAAGAAAGGCTATAACACTTGAAGAGAAGCTCGATGTTATCAACCTCAAAATCACCCTTCTCCCCCATCAAGTTATATTCATATTTTTTCAAGGTAAAGTGTTACATTTACTGTATGATTTCATTATTAGATATGAATGTAACATTTATTTTGACTGTGCTATCCTTTGTGTTAGGCTAACTACAAATTTTTTTTCGATTTCGAGTAGTAATCTGCACCTAAGCCTATTTTCTCCATAAGCCCTGTTATTTCTATTATGTGAATTTCTTGAACACGATGTTTTACAAGAACACAACTATCTCGTTATAGCAGAACTAACTGTATTGTAGTACAATATAGTGTAGTACAGTATGGTAAGTGCCTCCATCACTTCTGCCACTTGCATCACCTACCATGCCTCTGTGTCACCTACCATACCTGTGTCACCTACCATGCATCTGTGTCAACTTCATTCTTCTCCTGCAGTGCTGGTAAGTGTTATAGCTGATTCGCCAGGCAAGAAGATGACGGTAGCAAAAAAAAAATGGTTTTTTTACATCTAATAATTATATGTACTGTACATATACAGTATATGGGTTGATAATTTTTTATTGTTGTATTTTTGTAGGAGGGGAGAAGTGCTTCGATAAGTTGAAATTTGGGATAACTCGCAAGGCCAGTGCTCCATTAAGTGCCAAGTTATCGGGGGTTTACTGTAATATCACAGAAAATTATGCCGCTAAACAAAAAATCAACCAAATTTCTTAACTTTTCTCTCCATTCAGACTCAAAATCTCTGTATTATATGCTAGAGGTTAGGAAAAATTGTCCTAGTGGATCACATTTGGATAGCCATGGAAAAAGTAGATCCAGTCACATGACAGTCTGGTCACCACTGAACTACAGTATACATATATTCATAGAAATTCTATTTATGTCATGTGAAAAGGATCTTTAATAAATTCTCAACACTTGCTCTTGATCAAATATTGATAATTTACTTTTCCTCATTACTTCTATCACTCACAAAAGTCTTAATTATCTATGTATCTCACCAGTATGAGTCCAGCTTTGGCAGCTGCAAACTGTGTTAGGTACCACTCATAGCTATTAGGTCCCCAGATACCCAATCGGTCCCCACGTTGAAGGCCCAGAGCTAACAGACCGGCTGCCAACTGTTCACTCTGAAATTAACAACAACTTTTTATAATCTGCTGATTCCTAACACTCTTCTTCCTTAAGATCATTATTTTATTATGAAAATGATAAGTTAAAAACAAAAATTCTATACCAGGACTAGGAAGCAGACCAGAGGTAAAGAAGATAAAAAGTAAGAAGTGTCACTGACCAGACCGAGGTAGGTAGCCAAGTTGTTATAATATTACTACTGTATTGTGGGTTTCTAATGTTGGGAAATAGCCCAAAAGTTCTGAAGAGATAATTAAGACAAGGATGATACCATAGGCACACTTGAACATGCCATGGAAAGGGTTTACTTAATTATTTCCACAACTATATGGAATATATATACAGTATATAATGGTCCATCCATTAATGAGCACAATTGGTTCCACAGTCACTCGTTAACTGAAAATCTCGTTAACTGAATCTATTACGTATTTGAATGGGATATTGGGTAATTGGTTCCAACTCACAGAATTCCCTTAAAATTAATTAAAAAGTACATACAAAGTACTGTATACCAGTAATAGAATTAACAATGTGTATTTAGGATGGTGTGTGCATGTAAATGACTAAAAATAAATTAAGAAAGTTACGTTTCCATACCCAAAAATACGAGTTGAAAAGCTTGCACTTAGATGTACTACACTTTAGGACTAAAATATTTTATCCCTTGTGCAAAATATATGATGTCTATATTCAAGTTATTTGCTGTCTTCCAAGGATTCCAGCAATGCAAGTTATACTGTATTCTTCTAATTTTAGTCTGTGATATTTTATAAGATAAAAAGTACCTTCACCCTGTTTTGGGAATGCTGCTTAGCCCAGAACCCACCAAATTTTTGTCCGACTCTTCCGAAATCCGGGTCCAGATTTTTTTTATCTAAACCAACACTGCACTGTATATTATCAATATGTTAACTAAATTTCAGAATTACCAATAATTTTAATGTAAAAATGCAAAAATATTCAAGAGCACAACAAGCGTGATGTTTACTCCATTGGAAACAAATGTAAACATAGAATAAATTTTTGCCGGACTAGTCGATCGGCTGATGCACGCACCAAAGCGTGTTTCTCGTAAGGCTGTTGTTAATAGAATTTGTACTCGTTAATAGAATTGAAAGTCCTTACAGGAGGTAACTCGTTAACTGAAATCTAGTAAATTGAACCGCTCGTTAATGGAGGGTCCACTGTATGTATGTATGTAGCATTTTTTTAAATCTATCAAACCACCCATGACTTCCTGTAAAGGTTTGATCACATTCATCTCCTGCCTGCTCCTTCAGGCTTTGGAGCAGGCTTCTTGCTTTAGCCTGTATGGTTAGAAGGCTTAAGGGTACACGCTTCTGTATCTGGTCTTCTATCCATATCACCAATAATTTTTCCATATCGTGAATAGGACCTTGTCTTCTCTTTGATATTATAGTTCCCTTTATAGGTGTTGTTCCTTTCACTACTTCACGAATACATTCCTTGTCCTTCAGAATAGTGGATATAGTCGAGTGTGAGAAACCTAGGTCGCGTGAGATTGTTGCTACAGTTTTTCCATTCTCATGCTGCATTATTATCTTCATTTTCATCTCAAAAGTAATTGCCTATCTCCTTTTCTTTGGAGCACCACCAGCACTCTCACTCTTATGCTATCCAGTCATTATAAAGTCTATTAAATACGAGAATAACGAAAGTTCACAGAGCGATCAGTATAGGATACGATAGCCAAACACCAACTAAGCGCTGTACTGAGTGAGTGTAACCACGCGGTGACCCAAGCCAGCCATGCTCTCGCTTGGGACGGAAACGTTTCGGTATAGAAAATGCGAGCGTCATTTGAAAAAAAATTTGGTCATGACTGCGGACGGTCGTAAAGTCAGAGCAGGTCGTAAGTGCGGATTGACGTAAGTTGAGTCAGTCGTAAGTCGGGGACTACTTTTGTGTGTGTGTATGTATGTATATATATATATATATATATATATATATATATATATATATATATATATATATATATATATATATATATATATATATATATATATATATATATATATATATATATATATACCTGTATATATATATTATAACCTCGCTTTACACGGTCAATTGAACCCACGGAAGCGGGAAACGCGTAAATGGAACAACAGAACATATGGGATTAATTGAAATAGAGACTGGGCTGACCCCCAAACTCCACTTTTTCCCAACAATACGTACGTTAGCAAAAATAACATCTTAACATCTTAAAGAGGCCCTGCAAGCCTCTGTGGTGGATAGTGATACAATTGATACAGGTGAGGGCCACTAATCTGCCCTCTGCCTCGGAACCAACCGCCCATCCCAGTGTGCCCAGCCATCTTTTCTACTAATGTAAGTGTTAAAAAACCTAATTTTATTATATTTCTCTTAATTATTAATTGTGTGTGCATACCATCATAAAGTTAAGATAATATTCTTACTACAACATAGTTGTGTGTCGTCAAAAAGTGGAGTTTGGGGTCAGGCCAGTCTCTATTGGAATTAATCCCATATGTTCTGTTGTTCACTTAACGCGGTACCCTGTGGGTTCAATTGACCGCGTTAAGCGGGGTACAACTGTATATATATATATACAAGTATATATATATACAAGTATACAGTCAACCCTCACATTACGCGGTCCCGCATTCCGCGTTTCACCGTTAACGCGGTGCCTTGCCAGAACCTCACGTGCTCACATTACGCGGTACGTGAACCCCATTACGCGGAGAGTGTCCGGCGCGACGTTATTTTTAGATTTGCCCCACGCGCCATCCACCCGCCCGCCTGCCTGCCTCTCCCTCCTCCTCCCTCCACTTGGGCAAGCGGCGCGGTAAGGTTGCGCAGTGTGTGTCTTTGTTGCGTTATCACTGACGTCATATGACGTATCAGACCTGTGATTGGCCATGCATCCCTACCCCCCTCTGCTGCTAGCTGTAATTGGCTTAAAGTATTATGACGTGTCCACCCGGGGGAGGGAGGGAGGGAGGAGAGACGACGCTTGACCTAGCCGCGGCAGTTTCATCCCTCCAGGCCACTCCGTGTAAACGCGCATCCATTGTTCCGTAAAATGGCTTCCGCCGGACCACCACCCCCAGAGAGAAACCATTCCTTACCTGGACCCAGCGGCACTAAACCAAAGAAGACACGACGTTCCTTAAGCTACGAGGTGAAGTATAGCATCATCCAAGAGTTGGAGAAAGGAACAAGGCAGGTTGATTGGGCGCGCCAGCATGGCGTGAACGAATCTACGATCTGGACTATAAAGAAGGATTCAGCCAAGATAAAGAAGCACATGAAGATCACAAAGTCTACAGGTGCTTCTATGATCAAGTATTTTCACAACCAGGTGCTTCTCAAGACAGAAAAATTATTTGTGAGGTACTTGGTGCGTCAGGCGCGACGGAACATGGCGGTCGACACGCGCTCTGTGAAGGACTACGCACGTGAACTGTACATGGCAGTGGCACGAAAGATGGGAACTTCAGAGCCCAAACCCTTTAATGCTTCCTCTGGGTGGTTACAGAGGTTTAAGATCCGGAACAAGATCACCAATATAAACATTGGTGGTGAAGAAGCGAGTGCTGATCGTGCTGCGGCTCGGGAATTTCCTCCGTTTTTACGTGAGATTATGGAGGAAGGACAGTACAGTGACGACCAGGTGTTTAACATGGACGAATCTGGTCTTTTCTGGAAAAACTACCTTCCAAGTCCTTCGTTGTGAAGAATGCCAGCAGGATTCGGGGCCGGAAAATGCAGAAGGAACGCATCACCGTCCTGTTTACCACCAATGCCTCCGGTACCTGTAAGCTCAAGTTATCGGTGATCCACACAGCCCGCAAGCTGCACGCCTACAAGAGCATGGACATGACCAAGCTAAATGTCCACTGGCTGACAGCACGTAAGGCATGGATGTTCTCTACACTGTCCCTCTCCTGGTTTGATGACTGTTTTGTTCCCGATGTAAAGAAATTCTGTGAGCGACAGAATGTCCCATTTAATATTTTGTTGCTGCTGGACAACGCACCAGGACACTCGCCCCTACTGTTAGATCGTCACCCCAACGTAAAAGTGGTCTTCCTTCCTCCCAACACTACGTCTATTTTACAGCCCATGGACCAGGAGTTGATTTGCAATGTGAAAGCTGCATTCTCAACAAAAAAATTCCAGCTCCTGAACGACTACACCAACACCAGGGAAGAGTTGCGTAACCTGAGTGACACCACCACCGATAGCAAGAGCGAAGAAGATGAGGAACAACAGTTAGAACAGCAAAAAATACTCTTCAAACAATTCTGGAGAGTATTTAACATCAAGAAAGCTGTGGACTTCTTGGTGGAGTCATGGGATCAGCTGTCTATTGCTACAATTCGTCACGCATGGAGACATGTGTTGCATGGAATACCAGGTGAGAGGAGTCAATCTGTGACTGGTGAGGTTCAGAATGTTGCAGTAGCAGTGGACCTTGCCAGAGAAGCTGCGCAGACTGTTACAGTTCCAGGCTTCTCCGAGACCACCAACGACGACATCCTGGAGGTGATCAGAAATCCTGAAGTGACTGCCGACGAGATGTTGGAAGAAGAACACGTCAGTGAAGAGGAGGAAGAAGGTGCGTCAGTCTCCGAAGAACACAATTTAAGTCATAGTGATATTAAGGGTGCCATGGAGTGTGCAGAGAAGATGAAGTCCTTCCTTTCCCGCGACAATGACGATGACCGCTATGAAGTCTTCCATAACCGGCTGGTGCAGACTATGGAGCCGTACATCAAGGTGTATCACGACAACATCAACGCCAGCCGTCAGCAAAGCATAACAGATTTCTTCACCCGCAACCCACCACAGCCAGCCCAAGCCAGTGATAGTGACAGTGAAGTTGACTTTGAGGGATTTGTCAGGGAAGCCCTGACAACTGTAAGTGACAGTGATGATGATTCACCTAGTAATGGTGATTCACCTGAGGGCCAGTAATCTGCCCTCTGCCTCGGACCCAGCCTCCATCCCCGTATGCCGACCCATCTCTTCTACTACCGTAAGTGTTCCACCTAATTTTTAGTTTTCTAACCTTACCTTTATTTTTCCTATGTTAACCTTTATCTTTCCTAACCTAACCTCTTCTATATTACTTGTTTTTTCATACCATCATAAAGTTAAGATAAAATTTTTACTGCAACATAGTTATGTGTCGTCAAAAAGTGGAGTTTGGGGATCGGCCTGGACTCCATTTCAATTAATTCCATATGTTATGTTATTCACTTTACGCGTTCCTCACTTTCCGCGGTACCCTCCGGGTTACATTAACCGCGTAAAGTGAGGGTTAACTGTATATATATATACAGTGGTCCCTCGGTTAACGAATTTTTGGTTAACGAATTTCCTCCCATAAGGATCTTCAATTCGGTTAACGAATAAAACTTTCATTAATGAAATCCTTAAGAACAACACGTTTTGTTGTGAGCATCAGCTGATGGGCTTGTCTGCCAATTCAGTAATCTGTTCTATGTTTACATTCGTTTCCAGTGGAGTAAATATCAAGAAAGTTGTGCTCTTTAATATTTTTGCATTTTTTATATTAAAGTTATTAGTCATTTTAAAATTTAGTTAACATATTGATAATATACAGTGGGGTATGCTATAACGAACGGATTCTACTACGAATATTCCTATAACGAACGGTTTTACCTATAAAATTGAGAATGCTATTGTAGTGGATTCCTCCCATACAAACGCTGTTTGTCGCCGAGTAGCCGACCCCGCAAATTCCCCAGTGTATGCCTCGTGGTCTAGGTCAACCAGCGCCGCCTTACATGACGGAAGTCAACCATTAAGCCACGCCTACCTCCGCTATATAAGACCTGACCTCGTGGTGACCTACCTCTCTTTCTAACTACAGCCAGTCTTCAAGTAACACCACCTCCTCCGCTCCTGCCTGGCGGCCCTCGCTCCCGCTGGCGAGCATGGCGACCCACAAGCTGGTCCTCCTCTGAGCATCCTCACCAACCAGCTCTCTCTACATCACGCTTGTAACCACGCTGCCACTTCCCAGCACCAAGCTGCACTGTACATCCAATACAATATATATACAGAGAGCATGTTGTGAGTTTCCTTTCTCCATCCCATCCTGAGTGTGAACCAAATAACCCATACCCCACACTATAACGAACGCATCTCCTACAACGAACGAGGATGAATACGGGACTATTTCGTCTGGTGCATGAATATTGTTGTACCGCGGCTCACAGCAAGAGCGTCAGGCGCCATATTGGTTCATTGTGTAGTCAGTGCACCACTGAACTTGTTGAAATTTCGTCTTTTGATGTGGAAATTCGTGTTTTTTTATAACTATTTTGTTATACAAGTGTACAATTGTAACAATAATCGTCAAAAGCGAGTGAGAAAGCTAATAACCCTTGAAACTAAGAAAGAAATTATAAATAAACAGACAAAGTGCCTGTAAGACAGTCACCAAAGAGGGCTAGTAAGGATAACTCCTCTCCTTCCACCTCTTCTCTATAATTCTCTCCTCCTCTGTCCTGCATGCTAACAACACTAAGGTAAGATAAATTACCGTATTTTTTATAATTTCCACATAAATTTTTCAGTGTTAAGTGGTTGTATTTGGGGGCCTGGAACGGATTAATCCTATAACGAACGAGGTTCTAGAACCAATTAGATTCATTATAGCATACCCCACTATGCAGTACAGGGAACTAGTTTTTCGTGCATCCATCAGCTGCTTGACTCAGCCACCAGGCATCAGTTTGGCTTTGTTGACAGTGGAGTGAACATCGATTTTGTTGGTATCTTGAATATTTTTGCATTTTTACATTGAAGTTATTGGTCATTCTGAAATTTAGTTAACATATTGATAACATATAATGCAGTGCAGTGTTGATTTAAATAAAATAATCTTGAATTACACCTAGTGAACTTAAAATTTTATTGGCGAAATAACTGCATCAAGCACTGGTACCCTGAAAGGTGATTTCTCCTCCATCCCCACTTCCTTCTCTTCTCCCTTCTCCTCCACCTCCACTTCTAATTCCCATCATCATCATCAACCAGGAACCTTCTACATACACACCTCAAAGTAAGTGTAATTTACTGCATTTTTTTTTACTTTGTATGTACTTTTCTGTGAGCTGGAACCAATTACCCAATATCCCACTGAAACAATGGATTCGGTTAACAAAATTTTAGGTTAATGAACGACTCTGTGGAACGAATTGTGTTCGTTAACCAAGGAACCACTGTATATATCACACTACACAAACAACATAAAACAATGATAAAATGAAGAAGTTAAGCAACTGGGATGAAAACAGATATCCGCCTCAGTGTAAATGAACACACACAGTGCCATCTCCATACAAAGTATAAAAGTAGTTTATATTTAAGGTGTATAACCTCTTGTTGAACTTGTGTAAAGGTCCTTCTTGTTGCCTGGTGAATGGACACAATGGCTTCTTGGTCTCCATATATTTCTGCAGCTTGGTTCATCACTTGTCCAACTGATATCCCTAGGAGTGGCCATTTTCCTGGGTTTGACAAATAGCTCCAAGCCGATGTATCACTGCTCTGTTGTCTAAAATAGAGTCCTTCATTAACAAATTTTTCATTAAAGTATAATTTTTTTATCCTATTCTTAATCAATGTTAATGGCACGTCATGTAGAATTTGAAATGGACAACCAAAAGGGAATCTGAGTGTTTTTGTTTTTTTACGGGGGATAGCCCACCTGGGCACAGGTCATCGAGCCACAATAGGCCTGGGGGGCATAAAAATAAAGAGTAAAAAGAAATTAAAAATAGAAGTGGAAAAGACTTATTTAATCTACAGTACACCACAAAGATGCTGAAAAACCAGTTTTTTGAAGCGACACAGATTGTAAAAGTATGGAAACACAAAAGGCAGAGCATTCTACAGTTTGGCTGTGTGAGGAAAGAAGATGTACTTTCACAGGTTATTCTAGTGTGACGAACATCCACATAAAAACGGTGGGCACCATGGGCAAGACGAGTTTTAAAAAACCCACGGCCTTGCCGGAGGTACACAGGATGCCAATTCCACCGAACATTGACCGTTAAAGTACCTGTAAAAGAGAGCGTGTAGAGCAACATTGCAGCAAAGAAAAAGGGAAGAGAGATTATCACCTAAAGGAGGAGAGTTAATAAGACAAAATGCCTTTGATTCCACCCTATCTAACAGATGGACAGAAGAAGAACCATCCCATATATGAGAGCAGTACTCCAAGTTAGGACGAATGAATCCCTTATAAACTTGAAGCAACTGCTCAGGAGTGAAGGAGCTACAACTTCTGTACAGCATTCCCAGCTTTCGGGAGGCAGTTTTAGCAATGTTATGGATGTGTGGCTTCCCTGACATAAAAGAGGAAATGGTGAGGCCTAGCATATATAATTTAGAATTTGGTAGAATGATTGCGTCCTGAAATGTGATTGGTGGGAAATCTTCTATTTAGGAAAGTGTAATTGGTAAAATACTGTGTTTTATTACTATTGAATTTAATCAAGTTTCTACCTCCCCTTTCGGAGATACTACACAGATCTGCATTGATAGAAGAAATGATATCAGCTCTAGAAACAGATCTAGTTTGAGAGTAAGGGGGAAGGGAAAAATGTGAAGAAGAGTGAAGAGTAGATTCATCAGCATTAGAATGGATAAAATTAGTTGTTGTGTAAAGTAAATCATTGATGGAATAGAGTAGGTGAATGAACAGAACCCTGTGAAACACCATATACGCGGTGCCTTGCCAGAGCTGAACTTTCACTTAACGCGGAATTTTTCATCATATACGCGGTGAGTGTCCGGCTCGAGACGCTATTTTTAGATTTTCCCCACGCGCCACCCGCCTGCCTGCCTCTCCCTCCTCCTCCCTCCGCTTGGGCAAGCCGCGCGGTAAGGTTGCGCAGTGTGTGTCTTTGTTGCGTTATCACTGACGTCATATGACGTATCGGACTGTGATTGGCCATGCATCCCTACCCCCCTCTGCTGCTAGCTGTAATTGGCTTAAAGTATTATGACGTGACCACCCCGGGGAGGGAGGGAGGAGAGACGATGCTTGACCTAGCTGCGGCAGTTTCATCCCTCAAGGCCACACCGTGTAAACGCGCATCCATTGTTCCGTAAAATGGCTTCCGCCGGACCACCACCGCCCCCAGAGAGAGACCTTTCCTTACCTGGACCCAGCGGCACTAAGCCAAAGAAGACACGAGGTGAAGTACCAAATTGTTCAAGATTTGGAGAAAGGAACACGGCAAGTTGATATCGCGCGCCAGCATGGCGTCAACGAATCTACGATTCGCACGATCAAGAAGGATGCAGCCAAGATCAAAGAGCACATGAAAATCACAAAGTCTGCAGGTGCTTCATCTATCAGGTATTGCCAGAACAGGGTGCTGGCAAAAGTGGAATATTTGCTGGTGAGTTATTTGGTTCGTCAGGCACGACGGAACATGGCGGTGGACACGCGCTCAGTGCAGGAGTACGCACGTGAGCTATACGCAGCAGTGTCACGTAAGCTGGGAATTGCAGAGCCCAAACCCTTCAATGCTTCCTCTGGTTGGCTGCATAGGTTTAAGAAGAGGAACAAGATCACCAACATCAACATTGGTGGTGAGGAAGCGAGTGCTGACCGTGTGGCGGCTAGAGATTTTCCTCCGTTCTTACGTGAGATTATGGAGGAAGGACAGTACACCGACGACCAGGTGTTTAACATGGACGAATCTGGTCTTTTCTGGAAAAAGTTACCTTCCAAGACCTTCGTTGTCCAGTCTGCCAGCAAGGTAAGGGGTCGGAAGTTGCAGAAGGAACGCATCACTGTCCTCTTTACCACCAATGCCTCCGGTACCTGTAAACCAAAGTTATCGGTGATTCACACAGCCCGCAAGCCGCACGCCTACAAGAATATGGACATGAACAAGCTTAATGTCCACTGGCTAACCGCACGTAAGGCGTGGATGTCCTCTTCTCTGTCCCTCTTCTGGTTTGACAACTGTTTTGTTCCCGACGTGAAGAAATTCTGCGAGCAACAGAATGTTTCATTCAATATTTTGTTGCTCCTTGACAACGCACCTGGACACTCGCCCCTACTAATGGATCGTCACCCCAACGTAAAAGTGGTCTTCCTTCCTCCCAACACCACGTCATTAATCCAGCCTATGGACCAGGAGTTAATCTGCAATGTTAAAGCTGCGTACTCTGCAAAGAAGTTCAAGCTGCTGAACGACTCTACCAACACCAAGGATGAGTTGCGTAAGCTGGGTGACACCGACAGCGAGAGCAAAAGCGACGAGGACAAGGAACAAGAGGCGGTGACTCAAGAACTTCTCGTCAAACAATTTTGGAAGAAGTTTAACGTTAAACAAGCTGTAGACTTCTTGGTGGAGGCATGGGATCTGCTGACTATTGCTACGATTCGTCACGCATGGAGACATGTGTTGCATGGCATACCAGGTGAGAGGAGGAGTGAACCTGTGACTGGTCAGGTTCAGACTGTTGCAGTAGACCTTGCCAGAGAAGCTGCGCTCAATATTACAGCTGAAGGCTTCTCCGAGACCATCAACGAAGACATCCTGGAGGTGATCAGAGATCCTGAAGTGACTGCCGACGAGATGTTGGAAGAAGAACACGCCAGTGAAGAGGAGGAAGAAGGTGCGTCATTCTCCGAAGAACCTAGTTTAAGTCATAGTGATATTAAGTGTGCCATAGAGTTTGCAGAGAAAATTAAGTCCGTCCTTTCCCGCGACAATGACGATGAACGCTATGAAGTCTTCCATACCCGGCTGGTGCAGGCTATGGAGCCGTACATCACGGTGTATCATGACAACATCAACGCCAGCCGTCAGCAAAGCATAACCGAGTTCTTCGCCCGCAACCCACCACAGCCAGCCCAAGCCAGTGATAGTGAAAGTGAAGTTGACTTTGAGGCATGAAAAACAAGTAATATAGAAGAGGTTAGGTTAGGAAAGATAAAGGTTAACATAGGAAAAATAAAGAATAGGTTAAAAAACGAAAATTTTTGAGGAACACTCACGTAAGTGGAAGAGATGGGTCGGCATACGGGGATGGAGGCTGGTTCCGAGGCAGAGGGCAGATTACTGCCCCTCAGGTGAATCACCATTACTAGGTGAATCAATATCACTGTCACTTACAGTTGTCATGGCTTCCCTGACAAATCCCTCAAAATCACCTTCACTATCACTATCACTGCCTTGGGCTGGCTGTGGTGGGTTGCGGGCGAAGAACTCGGTTATGCTTTGCTGACGGCTGGCTTTGATGTTTTCATGATACACCGTGATGTACGGCTCCATAGCCTGCACCAGTCGGTTATGGAAGACGTCATGGCGTTCATCGTCAGTGTCGCGGGAAACGATGGACTTAATTTTTTCTGTTAACTCTATGACACACTTAATATCACTATGACTTAAACTAGGTTCTTCGGAGAATGACGCACCTTCTTCCTCCTCTTCACTGGCGGGTTCTTCTTCCAACATCTCGTCGGCAGTCACTTCAGGATCTCTGAGCACCTCCATGATGTCTTCGTTGGTGGTCTCGGAGAAGCCTTCAGCTGTAACAGTCTGCGCAGCTTCTCTGGCAAGGTCCACTGCTACTGCAACAGTCTGAACCTGACCAGTCACAGGTTCACTCCTCCTCTCACCTGGTATGCCATGCAACACATGTCTCCATGCGTGACGAATCGTAGCAATAGACAGCAGATCCCATGCCTCCACCAAGAAGTCTACAGCTTGTTTGACGTTAAACTTCTTCCAAAATTGTTTGACGAGAAGTTCTTGAGTCGCCGCCTCTTGTTCCTTGTCCTCGTCGCTTTTACTCTCGCTGTCGGTGTCACCCAGCTTACGCAACTCATCCTTGGTGTTGGTAGAGTCGTTCAGGAGCTTGAATTTCTTTGCCGAGTATGCAGCTTTAACGTTGCAGATTAACTCCTGGTCCATAGGCTGGATTAATGACGTGGTGTTGGGAGGAAGGAAGACCACTTTTACGTTGGGGTGACGATCCATTAGTAGGGGCGAGTGTCCAGGTGCGTTGTCAAGGAGCAACAAAATGTTGAATGGAACATTCTGTTGCTCGCAGAATTTCTGCACGTCAGGAACAAAAAAGTTGTCAAACCAGAAGAGGGACAGAGAAGAGGACATCCACGCCTTACGTGCGGTTAGCCAGTGGACATTAAGCTTGTTCATGTCCATATTCTTGTAGGCGTGCGGCTTGCGGGCTTTGTGAATCACCGATAACTTTGGTTTACAGGTACCGGAGGCATTGGTGGTAAACAGGACGGTGATGCGTTCCTTCTGCATCTTCCGGCCCCTTACCTTGCTCGCAGACTGGACAACGAAGGTCTTGGAAGGTAACTTTTTCCAGAAAAGACCAGATTCGTCCATGTTAAACACCTGGTCGTCAGTGTACTGTCCTTCCTCCATAATCTCACGTAAAAACGGAGGAAAATCTCTAGCCGCCGCACGGTCAGCACTCGCTTCCTCACCAACAATGCTGATGTTGGTGACCTTGTTCCTCCTCTTAAACCTATGCAGCCAACCATGGGAAGCATTG